TACTCCCTGCATTCTTAGGCAAAGATCTGAAAAAAATGTTTGAGGATAGTTTTGTTAGAACAAACCTTATTTTTGCTGAAGTGTTGCTTTGAACTGCAGTGCCATGAATGTTGTTCTGTACAACCCAAACAACCAGCTGAGCTATGAGTGGCCACCTCCAGTTAGAAACGAGCATGTACAGACTTTGTAGTTCAGGTTAGCAAAATGTAGCGACTGATGTAGTCAGTCCTGTATTTTAATGTCACTGATGTGCACTTTGCTAACCTGTTGTGGTGAAGTCATCTCCCGATGATACTTGTGTAGATACTGGAGCATAGTTTCTGTATGGGCTGTGCTAGTTCTTGTTTAGCCTTGTGATAGATGATCAGATCTCAGATTTTTTTATTCCTTGGGGTTATGGAGTGGGAAAGGCTGAGAACTCTTTGCTGGAGGGGTGAGGGTGCTAACTATGCTTTGTCTTAAAGATATGGTATGGGAACCTGGCTGATGTGTAAAGAGGTCTTCAGGGTGTGATAACTTTGAAATAAGCAGTCTTGTAATTCATGCAAATAAATACTTAGTGTAGTTAAGCTATTAAAAATATACTTTCTGTGATTGAATAAGCTATGGTACAAAAGAAAGGGCTATAATGCCTTCATGTAAAAAATAAAGGGATGTGCCAGTAATGTTTGTGAACAAGTGAAGCTTTAATAAATCCCCAGTTAAGTCTTTTAATGTGAGTTCTTACTTTTCCCTCACTCGTGTTTCTTACCTTCCTGTTTTGAAAAGAACCTTCTTGGCATAACTTTGTAGGGACTATGCATGTTTTCCTGTGGTCCATTAAAAAAAACCCCTGAAACCACCCAGACCAACCAACCACACAAAACAAAACCCAAAAAACTTCCCTTCAGTGCTATTTTTAATGTGGTATAATGTAAATGCTTGACACAGTTAATATGTTGGATAGAAGGTATAGTAACATAAGCAAGTTGAATGACTTTGGTGCATAGTTTTTATGTATGAGTTAGTTATGCTTCGTGTGCACCTGAGCTAAACCAGTATAGTGTAGTTCCTCCGTGAGGTCAGAAGTAATGTAGCAGGAGGCTGAAAACAGTATTGATGGATAATCACTGTGAAGTTGGTTATGATAGTTTAAGATATTGTCCCTTTGCCAGAAATTGCTATTCTTGCTCGTTTAAGCTGTTACTAAGCATGTTTGGAGTTAACTAGACTGTGAATTTATAATTAATTGGATGGAGTTATACTTAGATAGTCTGTGGGTGGCAACCTCTGTTAGAGACATGGTATAAAATACAGGGGATAGTAACATCATGACTGTTTAATTGGTGATTGTTGGATTGAGGCTGAGATCAAGTTTCTCTTTTCAAGGTGCTGTACACTGTCAGGCTCAGGTGTAGGTTAAATTTTATTATTTTTTTTTCATTTTCTAGGAAGATTATCTGAGCCATTTGAGTTATTAAACATGAAAAAGAAGCTTATTTCTGGGTAATTTAGAAGCACCTGTAGTTTTAACCTCCTACTTGTCATATGATTAGAGCTTAAAAAAGGGACTAGTCACTTGGCAAATTACTCTTTTGAGATGCAAGAATTCTAGGTAAGAGATAGTGAATGGCTAAAAACATGTTTTGTATAATCAAGTATTCAGTCTTCAGAAAAACCTTGTCAACAACAGTGTGAAGTTTGAAACAAGACAGTCCTCCCTTCTCTGCACACACAGTTCTGAGGTGGTGAAGCTAGGTAACCTCTCAGGCATCAGTGGAAATTCTCCTTGTTTGTGAAGAGTTGCCCCTGTTTATTACTGCTGTATTTATTATTGTGTATTTATTACAGCTGCTTATTTGGTAAGCACATTTTTGTGTATGCTGTTTTAAATTCATACATTTCTTCATGTTTTAAATACATATCCCACACATACTAATATACATAATCCTTTACTTATGATCTGCATTTAAGGTCTTTTTGATTCAACCAGTCTCCCTCATTTCTAGATGTTTGAGCTACCTAATGCAGATGAAAAACTCTTGAGTGCATGGGAAGTGCTCACCTGTGTGGCCTGGCCTGTCACAGGCTGTCACATGGAAACATAGATATCACTCCTCTTTTTCTTTAATATGCTTTTAATATTTTTTTAGAGGACAACAGTGTTAATAAAGTCATTGTATGTTTTCCTTACTGATAAAATTCAGTTAAAAGTATTTTTCTTGATAGCTGTCTCTAACTGGTGTTATCTAGAGGGAGAGCTAAAAGATGTTTTTCAGCTGTGACTTTCACCTGTGTATCTCTGATGAACTCAGTGCACATTCAGTATTGTAAGAGATGTAATTTTGCTTGTTGGTGATCATTGAGGAGGAAAAGTCTGTCTAATCTCAGATTTCAGGCCAACCTTGCAAAGCCAGCAGGGACTCTGTTACTCTGAGAAGAAACATGTTTCTTCTGGATGCTGTCGGGACCTGAATATTTTGACAGCTATGTCACTTCAAAGTTTTCTAGAGTAAATTTCTTTAAGAAAAATTCTTAAATTATGTTTATGTGACAGGAAATAGCTAAAATTTGAACACCCAAACGGAACTTTTCTTCCTTGGTGAACATGCACTGCATTTGACTTAACTTCTTTATGAGGATACTAATTCTTAAGTGAAAATAAACCATGCAGACAGTGAATTAAAATGCTGAGAATTAATTTACAGTGTCTAAAAGCCTACTTAAAAAAGCATTTGGTCAGCTGTGGTGCTGTGCAGTAGTCTGATACTTAGGGTTTAGATATTGCTCCACACACTGGTGTGTGTTTGTGATGAAGGCAGACATCTTTCATGCTGTTAGGCTGCAAATCTTGCCTGGCAGAAGTCTGAGTTATTGAACTGCAGATGAGGTGTTTCTACCTGGACACAATAGCTGCAGGCAACAGTGAGTGCAGGGCTAAACTTTTGGGTATGTGACACTTGAAAGCTAATCTGGGTTCACAAAAAGATAAGGTATGGGAACATCACCGTAAGCCATTGATGTTTAGAAGGTACTTGTAATTGTTTCAAACAACTTTTCTGTATTTATGTGTTGGCTTAGCCTCACAGTTCTTGGTGTTTGGTTTTTTTTTTATTTTTTCTGCATACGGAGAAGACTGTATGTGTAAGTAACTGATTTTATAAGGCAGTAAAAAGATGAAAATGAAAAAAAAAGCCCCTCTGTGTATCTTTTTTGTAGATATCATTCCATGCATTTTTGAGAAGAGGAATTTAGAATAACTGTACCCAAAGCATTTTCAGTTTAACTAAGCCCCTTGAACTCTGCACTGTTTCAAATTTGAGATCTCCTAGAGGCTATCTAGCTGATTTTGTTTTCCATGATTTTTGTAACGTATAGAAACTGCATGTTCAGTTAGTGTTTTGAGAATTCAGTTAATACTTGTAATGATAGTTAAGCATTATTGTAATTTTCAGGTAGCATTTTCTTTCTTCTGTAATTAGGCTATAGTTATGGTAGCTTTTAAGTAAACTGAATTGGTTAGAAAGCAATGTCTCTTTGTCAAGTAGCAGAATGTGTGTGTGTATATTTACATGCTATGTAGCTACAAAAAAACTTTCTTTTCCTTGATAATTGCATAAAGAAGTGCCATCTGACAGAGAAACAGTGTGAGGCTGTATTACATCTCTCTAAAATTGCCCTTCAAGTCAAGACAGCTTTAGTAAAATCATTACGTTTCTGTCTGAAGAAAAATGATTACTTTTTTTCCTTGCTCAAGCTTGCAAATCTTCATAGGATATCTTCCAAAAAGTTCATGAGCTGTAGTCTGGAAGGGATGTGTATGCAAGTGACTGTTAGAGGTGTGGTTATGTTTGGAGATTCGTTTTGCAGCATAGTAAATAGCTTGAGGCTTCAGCGTTTTTTTAAAAAGACTGTTCTTGAATCATCTTCATACCTGTATTCCAGTACTTAATTGCGTTGCTCCAGCCATGCTGCATATGTCTGTCTGGTTATCATTTCACTGCTGGTCATCGCCTTCTTCCCTATCTTTTAAAGCCTGAGGCTCGTTTCATTTCTGAACTTAACAGCTGGTCATCCTGATGTTCTCTGCTGGGTAGTTGAATTGTCTCTTGTCAGCCTTTTTCTTTGAGAGTACCAAATGTCAGCTGGCTGGCTAATTGAGAAATTGCAACTGTTTTTAATGAATTGGGCAAAGCCCACTGGAATTGTCTGGGAAGATAGTTGTGCATTTTTCAGTGCACGTATTTGGAATCAGTTTGTTAATTCTGAAAGCAAGTCTTAATATAAGAACTGAAGATGCTGCAGTCATGGCTTCCTTTTAAACCAGTAAGTTATATATTATAAATAAAGTAGCTGTGGTTTGTAGAGCTTCTATTTGAGTAAAACTGAAAGCGTGGAAACAGTTCAGTCGCAGCTTCAAATTAAAATGTACATTAGAGTGCAATTTTTCTATCCTTACTGAGTTCTGCCAGTGTGGTGAGAAAGTGTTCTGCTAGTCTTATGCAGCATGTTGGGTTTGAAGGAAGACATGGCAACAAGTCAAGAAGGTGAAAATCAGCAAGCAAGTAATTACGTTTTTATACTTTAAGCTACCCTGCAGGGTGATGTGTTCACTAAATTTTATATGATTGTTTTAAAAGTAGAGGAATGGGAAATGAAAATAGCAGTAGTTCTTCTAATTCTTCGTTGAAGGATGTTATCGTATCCCCGTACATTCTAGCTGCTATGGTAACCAGTTAACTTATTGAAAATCAGCAGATAAAGTTTAGACATCGTTATGTACATGAAGTACATTTAAAAAAAATAAATATGTAAATTCTTCCATGTACATTTTCCACAGTACTGAGGGTTGTACTTTCTTTTGAAACTTAGATCAGCTGCATCCAAAAAGTATTAAATAAAACTTTTGATACAGGTCATTTGCAGCATGTATACAAATTAGTTTAGATGAATCATGCATTGTCCTACAAACTAGTTATTTCTGGCTTATTGTAATATAGCTCCTGAATTTTTTCCAGCAGCATAATAAAATGGCTAATCAGGTGAATGGTAATGCGGTACAGTTAAAAGAAGAGGAAGAACCAATGGATACTTCCAGTGTAACTCACACAGAACACTACAAGACACTGATAGAGGCAGGCCTCCCACAGAAGGTGGCAGAGAGACTTGATGAAATATTTCAGACAGGTATAATATGCATTTCTTGTTTCTGACTGGTTATGAAAGTGAGGGCGTGCCATTTTCAAATTTTATAGATTAAGGTTTAAAAATTCATTGTTTTTGATCTGTGTAGCTCTGAATGTTTTGCTACTTTGACTTCCCTAAAGGCAAATTGGGTTTGACGTTGACTAATTACTTGACACATCCTTAGTGTTGTATGTGATATCTTAGTTGCTTTAGGGCACAGAGCACTAGTTTCTTAGATGTTGTCAAATTAAGATGTATGTTTGAGCATACTAAACTGTACTTTTTTTTTTTTCTTCAATCCAAATCATCATTTTGCTTTTACTTTCTACTGTCAACTCCTCACAGTGGTTCTTAAACACTCAGAGGCTGGATAGGTGGCTTAGTGAGGGAAGCAACTAGCTTGTCTTGCCTGGGACTACATTTGAATTGAGTCTGCCTGTGGACATTTTGTTCTCCCTAGTTCTGAGTGGACAGTTTAATCCGTGTTGATTACTACACTGAAACGTGCAGTTTGACACTAACCATTTTTCAACAAAGTTGAGGACTAAGCTATCTAGCAAATTGAATAATACCTTGCTGGTAGCAAGTGGTCTTTGCAACTTCTAGAGAGGTTTCTTTACATACAAAGGGTTTTCTATTTTGTTTTTGTAACCCCCCTTATTATTTTGTCCTATTGTCAGGCTTCCTTTTCCTCTTTAGAGTGTGTTCTGTGAACAGATTTACAAGAAGCAGTAGAAATGCTCTATGCGCTGATCTTGAATGCCGTGGTGGCAAGATTACAGTATTTGTTGAAAAAGAATCAAAATTCCACTGATGAAGTGAAGGCAGTTCAAAAACAATACCTTACCAATCTTCAGTATGATATGGGCTCACGTGGATGATGTCTTTTGGAAGTCATTCACAGTGAGCTTTCATCAAGCCTTTACCAGCTTTATTGGCTTTAGATACGCACTTTCTAACTGTGGGTCACGATGATGTGCACTTGATGGTTTGAGAGAAGGTGTAAATGCCTGGGTAGAACTTGTGGGGCTCTAACACGTGTTGCAGTTAGGTTGTGTTGTGAGGAGTTCTCAAGGGATTTAAGAGCTTTTCAGCCCTGAACCTGACTAGTGTAATTCCACTGCATGAGTAACCTGAAAACATTTATTCACACTTCCTTAATGCCACTGAAGGTGTTTGCATTGTGCAGGGGTTTGTCAGTGAAGCAAACTACTTTTGACACCCAAGCTAAATTTGGGGGTTGAACTTTAGAATCTGCTGAGGTCTTATATGAAAGATACAGGTGCCTTCCAATATGCAGGATCACTTCTGAAATGTAGTCCTTGGGCTTGGCACTACTGTGCATTTTTGAAACCAAGTAGGAGTTAAATAATCTGTGTTTTGGAGATCAGCTTTGCTGTGTCGTTTGAAAAGTGCAAATCTTGAACTGTACTTCTCATACTCCACAGCTTATGCAAGTACATTACAAAAAGAATGAAATAACCTGTAAACGTCCTTAAACAGAAAAAATGTCTCAGAACTGGTCCAGTGTTTCTTCTGGGAGTCTGTACCTGTAAAATTAACACTAGCCTTTTCGGGTACATAGCAGGGCTCGAAATAATACCTTTTTGAATTCTGGCTCTTGAACTGCATAGAGTAACAAAATGAGTAAAAAAGAAAAAAAAGTACTTTAGACATACAGGAAGTCCACTGATTTATACTTTTGAAGTTGGAGAAAGGAGTGAACAAACCATTCTACTTCCTAGTATTTTGTGGGGTAGAGCTTCATAAATGTTTGATGATTAGTTAGGTAGCTCCTTTTCCACGTACAGTAGGATACCTGTAATGTTCCCGTGTCAGCTTATCCTAGAACAGCTCCATTCAAGAGAAGGAAGTGTGAAACTTAAAATGAAGGACAAAACCAAAATCCATATTATTAGAAGTGAGCCAGAGTTCACTGTTTCAAACCCTGTGTGTAATACTGCTTTTATGTAGCAGGTTGGATTCCTGAATGTTAGAAAACTCTGCCATGTGGAGTATAATCTTGCACATCAGATAGTGCTTAGGAATATACATTTTAAGTTAACTTTTTTCATTGTTGTACTCATGTTCTTTCATATACTTGTGTAGGAATATGTAATTTTATTAAATGTATAATTCTGTTGCTATGGAACGTAACTTTTTGACTTTAAAAACAAACTGCATAGTTCTTAGTTTGTATGAAATTCAATAGAAATCTGTAACTTCTTTATCTTTAACTTTTAGGGTTGGTAGCTTATGTCGATCTTGATGAAAGAGCAATTGATGCTCTTAGGGAATTTAATGAAGAAGGAGCCCTCTCTGTATTACAGCAGTTTAAAGAAAGTGACCTGTCGCATGTACAGGTAAGGTGAGAGCTCCAGGAGTGTAAGCACATAAGTATAAATAGTGTTCTGGCACTATTGGCAGGAGAGTTGTAACTTAGAAATTCATTGATGTTGCTGTGTTCTAACATTTCAAACCCAAATCACAAGCCTGTTAAAAATTGCCATAAATGTGTAGGTATTTGAGTGGAAAGCAAAAGCTCCCAGATAATAAAAATGAGCGTGCTATTGAGAAAATAAGGTAAAAATATTACTTGGAATTTGATTATTTTTTCAGTCTGATAAGATTGTTCACTTAATTGTTATATTTTTCTAAAAGATTCTTTTGACATTTTATTTATTGCACTGGCTTGATACAGTGACCTCGTGGTATGGAGTATAAATTTTGGTGGATTCCCAGGGCTTTTCATATGCACAATTGAATTGTTTTGTAAATTGTATCTACAGAACAAAAGTGCATTTTTATGTGGAGTTATGAAGACCTACAGGCAAAGAGAGAAACAAGGCAGCAAAGTACAGGAATCAACGAAGGGACCAGACGAAGCAAAGATAAAGGTAATATTTACAAAATACTGATCATTCTGTACTGCCTGATATATTACCTGTACACAGACTGAACTAATTTTGGGTGTACTTACAAAGCATCAACACTACCTGGATAAGTATATTCACACTTGGCTTTAAAGAAATGTACGCATGATAGGATTCAAAAGAGAGTGCTTGTTTGAAATGCAGATCTTCCTCATTACACAGTTGCCAAAATGCATGAACTTAATGTTACGTGAGGTGTATGAAAACATTGATATCTATTGAACAATTTTCTTAGTTGTCCTTTTATATTAAAGACTTTACACACTGATAAAATGACTTTGTGACCGATTCAACATTTCAACAAGGTATTAGTATATTAAGAAACTCTTCTGCTGTGCAAAAACCCGAGTACAGAGTGGGTGAAAAGACTTGCCTGGTGTTCCGGAGTTCTTGGGGTACTATATATAAGGGAAAAGAAAAACAAGTTCTTTCCAGTGACCTTATAATATAAAACAAATGTCAGTGTTTGTGGTGATGGTTTTTTAAACCCTCAAAATAACATTTTTTTTTGTTGGTTCTGTCTGTCCATATATACCTTGTTCAAATGTGGCAGGGAGTGGATAATGAAATGCTTATCTTAAGACACTTTTATTCTTTGTATTTTAATCCACTGTCTTCCCCCCCAAAAACTAACGTGACAATTTTTTTTCAGGCTTTGCTAGAGAGGACTGGTTACACTTTGGATGTAACTACAGGACAGAGGAAATATGGGGGCCCTCCTCCAGATACTGTATATTCTGGTGTTCAGCCTGGTATTGGAACAGAGGTTAGTATATACAGGCTAAGCTGTTATTTTGTATGTTTGTGCAAACTGTAAGAAATACTTGAAAATAAACTATATTGTCAGCAAAAGTTTAGAGTATTGTAGAGGAAAGCATTCTTCTATGTTTGTGTGTCTTAGTCTTTCTTACTCCTCTGTATTCTGCAAAAGACAGGATAATAGGTTGAGGGGGGAAAGCAGATGGAATATACTAGGAAAGGCTATGTAAAATTTCTTAAAATGTAAAATAGATCATTAAATTGTCAGACTTTGTGGTCCACCCTAAAGCTTATGGTCCATGTCTTAAAAAGTGACCAATGTAGGTATTAGCTGTATAGGTTTGTAGAAGTGTGACTCAAAGGTATTTGACTCTGTTTACAACATCAATGGAATTTAAGTGACAGTTGCAAGTTTATTTCATGCAATGTGCTGAAAGTGAAAAAGACTTGGGTATTGTATGAGGATGCTCCCAAAGTTCTGAAGAGGACAACTGAGATCAGTAATTTTTAAGGAATTGTTTATTTGCTTTTCTTTCAGTCTACATGAAACATCCTTGATGCTTGCATGGGCTGATAGTGAAACTGTCACACTGAAAGAGTCCATGTAGCTTGTTTCATTTTGTAAATTTGTGTGTTTCTGCATTCAGAAAAGTAGCTTAGAAGTTGTTTACGAGCTCAGTGGAGTTGCCAGGGTGATTATGTGATGGTATAAAATGTTGTTTAATTGCACCTCACTGACATTTATTTACAGAGAAGGGTGGTCAAACACTGGAACAGGCTTCCTAGAGAGGTGGTTGATGCCCCAAGTCCGTCAGTGTTTAAGAAGCATTTGGACAATGCCATTTATAATACAGCTTAACTTTTGGTAAGCTCTATAGTGGTCAGGCAGTTGGACTAGATTATTTTTTTAGGTCCCTTCCAGCTGAACTATTCTGTTCTATTAATGACGGAAAAGACTTGAGAGATCTTAAGAATTTTGTCCTATTGGTGATGGTTAGCCTCTTTAGGAAGTCACAGGAAAGCTGTAAAATTGGCTGTGCTTTATTAGTATTAAGAATATGGTTTTATACTTCTAAGTTTCTTGAAGCTTACTAGAATAGGTGGCTTGTGGAAACTCCCTTAAGATGTTTCTCACAGGAATCAGCATTAGGGGCTGTAGCAAAATCCAGCCAACTAGCTATAGAAACCATACTTCTACCAAATAAATTTATTGGTGGCATTTTGTAGGATTTAAAGACTGATCACTGTTTTAGACATTCTGCTTGGTTTGACTGGCTGAGATGCTGAACACCTCGCTGAAACTGGTGTATACTTTGCTAAATTTAGCCTTTAGCTCTTGCTGTTGAGCTCTGAGGTGTAGTAATCAGCAATTTAAACATGATCTTACAGTGAGGTAGGCTAGGCAGGGCACGTTTGAACACAAGTGACTGGGGATTATTGTAGCACTTTTTTTTGTTTTGTTTTACCAGAATGAAGTGGGTGTTTTGATTTTGGGGTGGAGTTTTGTGTTTTTGTTTTTTTTTTCTTCCCTTAAGCTTTTTGAGAACTGCTTCTCTGTTGTCCTCAATAGTTCTGGTTAGATAGGAGTGTAAATGCCCTCTTTTCTAATATTGTGGGTAAAAACATGAAAGAAACACAATCCTGGATTGTGACAATGAATCTTTCGTGTTTGAAACTTACTTGAAATAATACTGAAGCTCTCATACCTTGTGCAGGCTCAGATGTGTTGATGCCAGAGCTGTCACTGATGTCAAACTTCTGGTTTTTAAGGATATCAAAGTACTGTTACTATTTTCAAGACGATACATACTAGATAGACTTTTTACCCTGAAGATGTATCGGATCTTTCTGCTGTAAATATTTGTACACCAACTAATTTGTCATCTTAACATGTAATGAATTCCGCTTCATGTTTTAACTGTAGCTTTAACTCTCAATATGTACTTGAACATTGTATAGTAAAACTAAAGTACTGATAAATAGTCTTATGGATGTTCAGCATGTTGAACATTCTTAAGTTGCCACAGTGAACATTTTGCTGAAAGGATTATGTGAATGAAGCTGTCCAATATCAAGTGAGTGGGCTTTAGGAGCAGTTGGACCTTTCTGTAATATTCTGTAATAAAGGCAAAGTAGTTACAGCTGTACAGAAGCTTGGAGAAGAAAATAATTCCAATAGGATTTGATATTAAACTTGAGTATTCGTTTTACTTAAGGACTTGCTGCTCCAATGTCAAGCTTTTTGCTTATAGTGAAGTCGCATGATATTGATACTTGGAGATGTTTATGGGAGCCTTTATTGGATGAGAATGGAAGGAGTTACTTGGCATTTGCATCTGCAAACAGATAACTGCTTATCCTCAAGCAAGTGGCTTGTACAGTGCTCCTTTGTTTTGCTTAAAATGTCCAAGATCTTTTTTCTCTGCTTTTTCTTACCTCCCCCGACACCGTGTTTCTTAAAGATGATTGAAAGGGTTTTAACGATTCCCTCACCTCCCCCTGCCTTGCCCCAAGGACAAAGTCTAGCCAGTAAGCACGTCAGGGAAATGCAAGGTCATGACTGAACCTGTGCAGCTTGCTAGCAAGCTATGGGCTAACTTCAGATTGGTTACAAAAATGCTTGAGCTGTGTATTTCCTTGCTTACCTATTCTGAAAGGTTTTGGTCACTAGCAGGTTGTTTTTTAGTTTATTCTAAACACTTTGAATACTCTCAATCCCACTGTTGTGTCTAGTCTTTGATACAGGAGTTCTTTCAGAGAGTCTTCTGTAAACCACCAGGTTAAAGCAAATGGTCAACTTCTTGAATGTCTTTCATTTTCTAGATTGTTTTTGCATCCTTTGAGATGCTGAAGCTTTTAGCTTTTATGTATACCATCAAGATGATGCTTAAAAGCGTTGCAGTAAGGATGATTTCTAAGGGGAATGTTCATATTCCATGAAGAAAAAGAAATTCCTTGGTGGCGGGAAATAATTAGAATGGGTCCTTGAACTCAGAGGTAGTAACTGATGGTTTGCATAACTTACCAAGCTCTGCTTAGGTATGTTAATTGTATGCTGTATGATAATCATGTTAATCACTCTACTAAAGTGTATATGCAAGGAATGCTGAATAAATAAATTTTTTTCTATTCTTAAATTCCAATTTTTTTACACAAAACCACTTTAAGTTGTCTTACTGTGGTTTAAAATATGCCAGTAGTTCAGCAGCACTGGAGGTTGCATGGACAGTAGAAATTTCTACATAGTAATTGCAGTAACTTTTGAATTTAGGTGCAGACGAGAGGAGGAAAATGTTACAAGTATTTCATTAAATTTAAAGTCACAGCAAGGTGGAATTTAAGTGTAAATGTTACAGAAATGAATTTTAATCACATGTCCACTGGTAGTCAGGGATGATGAAGCTTTCATGCAAACAAGACAAGCATTCAGTGTTTCAGTTGGATAATGCTGGATGGTAAATCCAACATTGTATCCATAGTGTCTGCATTTGTGGGTAATACTGATGAGGTTGAATTGTATTTGCTAAACAGATTAAAATACAGATTTTTCACTCCTGTTCTTCACTCTGCTCGCTGAGGAGCTTTTTGCTGTTAAATTCAGGAAAACTGAAGGATCGTTATAATATATATAATTTTTTTTCTTCTTTAGGGGAGGGTAAAGAAAGTCTGACATGCACATAGCCTGTCCAGACTAATGTTACACCAAAAAATAAGGAGGTAGCTGATGTGGTACTTGAATTCCATCCTTCACCTTTTTGTGTAAATGAATATGATACCATTTAAGACACGATTTGAAGAACAGGAGGCTCCATTTATAACTGTAAAATACCAACCCTTTACCCCTCTATAACAGGGATAGGGGCAAACCACTTTTAAAATTAGCGCAGTGTAGCTAGCATGAAGAGAGTAAATTGACTTGAGTCTGTACTGATTGCTGAGTTAGTTTCAGTTTTATTGAGGGGTCTCCAGACAAAGTAAGTCCTACTCCTAAACTTTTACAAGACTTCTATTTCATTGTTTTTCAGTGATATGAGGTAAAAAATTGAAAATTCTGTAAATAGATTATTTGCCCATAATATGCTAGGATAATGTGTAAGGTTAGATACCTATACAGTTTAGACTGTATAAAATGGAGGAATTGCTACATGTTCTTTTCAGAGCTGAAATTTATTGGGTAAGTATATGATAAACATCTTTGAATGTTGTTATCAAATATGGAAAATGACTTTCAGCTCTGTGAATGGTAAGTTGGTGTTGCATCTGCTTCTCTGTGGGTGTATGGTCTGAATTTGTAACAAAAAGTCAGAGGGGTCGTGAGGCTAGCTTGCATCTGGAGAATGTTATGTTACTGGAGATGTTGGGGAAATTTAAGCTGCTTTTGTCCATAATAAATTGAAGGAAGAACAGATACTGTAGCAGTTAACTTAAGCAGCAATGGTATAATAAACTGAGCAGGAGTTGAACTAGACAGAGCTTGTGCTGGATTTAGTACAGAAGTGGAATGTCACTTTTGTGCTGGAAGAACAGTGGGAGTTCAAAGGTTTTTGCACTATGTCAGAAGTTTTTTCCACTTCCATTTCGTTTTTTTCAATGAATTTGGATGAGATGAAGCAGTTGTGTGGCCTACATTAATTAGCACTTAAAACTGGCATTCAGGAAAAATTGACTGCAAAGCACATGAGGACACTGTTAAAAGGAGAGAGGTTTTGAAGAAGCTCTTGCAGCACTGCAGTACACTTCAGTTAGCTTGCGTTGATGACAGAAGAGGCTCAGCTTTTGAAATCACTGAAGGATGTGTCATCTAGAGTGCAGAAGTGGATTGCACCCTTCAATAAAGCTCTGTAAAATTCTTCAGGAAGCTGAAATTGAATTTTTTCCTACTTAAGACTTTTCATAATTAAACTTCTAAAACAGTAGTAAGGAGAAAGCAAAATGGAGTACTTTGTACAGGTCCTTTAGGAAGCAAAACTGGAAGAAGTAAGTCTAATGGTCAGTGATTCCAACAAAGGCCCAGAGTCGATGCAATTGCATCCTACTTAGACAAGATCTCTTATATTGTTTCACTGATAATGCCAGTTTCCAAAATTTTTCCACAGCGCTCTTGTTGTGGAACTAAAAAATGCAACAAGACATCTGATAGTTACATTCCTTGTTCAAGCTTAACAACATTTAAAAAAGTTATTGCAGTTGTTTCCTCTGACCCTTGCAGGATGTTCACCTGGTGCTTGTCATGTCTATTGGTTTTGTTGTTCGTTAATAAATTCAGTTTACAAGCTCAAAGCAAGTTCACTCAGATGTGAATTACTCCCACAGAGTTATCTAGTCCTGTTATAAATGGAAGTTAGTCTAGAATATAGGCCAGATATGAACGTATTCAAATTAAATCCTTTCTCATACTAGCTCTCAGAGTGTATTACCTGAACTGATCTCTAGTACCAGTCTTGTGGAATTCTTGGTGGTCTAAAGTTTCTACAGAGTGAGCCCCAAGAGACTGGAAAGAAAGGAGGAAACAAGCTTTCAGGATTGTAAATCTTTGGTAAATAGCTGGAAGAATAGGCTTTGTATTTGAATTAAGTTTTGTTCTTTTTCTCAAGTCTTCTGTTCTGGTATGTCACCTTCGGTTTCTGCTGGAAATGGTGGCATCTGAAACAAGGAATCTAATGTAGACTTTTTTAGATTTGTCTGACTTAAAAACTGTTGAAGTTTGTTGAGAGTTTAACTGGCAGTTTTGCTGTCCTACTACCAACTTAAGAGTTCCTGTCTTGTGCATTTCCATTATGGTATCAGGTTTTTTTTGTCTTTAAAAACTGTGCATGGGTTTTGGAATTAATGTTCTAGGTTTAGTGACGATGGAGATACCTATCTGTAGGGATTTCTAAGCTTTTCAGGAAGCTGGGGAGGAAATCCTGTTGTTTCTGCCATTAAATTTTCACTTAGTATGATAAATCTATTCCTTTTTTTCCCCAATAGCAAATAAATGATGGTCAGTTGGTGTTCACACTGAACTGAGAGAGGCTAAGCTAAGTGAAAGAAGTGCTCTGGAAACTGAATTTCAGGAATATCCGTATGACATGAAGAAACATCTAAAGGTTCTAGCTTTCCTTTGGAGGAGATAATTTGTGTTCCACATTTTTAAAAATCTGAGTCATCACGTTCTCCTCACGGGTTTGTTTATATCAGTGCTTAAATGGGCATACTGTGCGTCTTTAGTTTTGAAATTCTCTGCTAAGCTTTCAGTACCAGACATGACTATGGCAAGGCCTCGCCTAGGTGGAAAAGATTGATGACTCCTAGCGTTTTTTACTACAAAAAATACTTGAAGTTAAAATAAATATAGTTTGATCTTAGTGGGTGTTTGGAATGTTTTGCTTGTATTAGTGATTCAGAGGTTTTGAGAGGAATTGAGAGGAGAGCTGCAGTGATGAATAAGTTTGTGGTGGGGGAGAGAGGAGATCTCAGCTGAAGAGATGAAACTCCACAAGGAAACTTTACCAAAGTTTATTGTAATTGCTCTATGTAAGGAACCAAAACATGAGGACTCCAGATTTTCTCAGACAAATATTAAAACATTAAATTGGTGGAAGGTGAAACGAACACAGATTAGAAATAAAATTACAGTAGATATTAAAAGTGGAAAATGTGTATTGTGCAATTTCAGGATTTTAGTAGGGTTTTTTTCCATCTCTGTAGCTTTCTAATGAAGATTGAGTTACAGAATGATTTGAAAACACTGCAAGAGCAAGGAAGTGCTTAGCCTGCTTTAATACAGGATACCCAACTAGATAGCCTGTAAGGTCTTTGTTTTTGACTGCCAGAATTATAACAGGTAAGAACCATTTACCTCTTCAGTGGTGGAAATCCACAACCTCTTCAATATAAACAACAAAAGTAGGTTTTCCATATGTAAAACCTTGTACTAGCAGTGGGAGGTTTAGAAGACCTAGTAGGATGTATTATGTTGGCTACAGTGATGGCTACAGTGTTTCTGCTGTAATGGTTTATGCAGCATTGTACTTCCTTTCCCAGGAGCTTTCAAATACTAAAAGTAAGTTTGGATTTCTGAAAAAACTTTAAGTGTCCTCTTCCTTTTTAGGTTTTTGTTGGTAAGATTCCCCGAGACTTGTATGAAGATGAATTGGTACCACTCTTTGAGAAAGCTGGTCCAATCTGGGATCTGCGCCTCATGATGGATCCTCTTTCTGGTCAGAATAGAGGTTATGCTTTCATTACCTTTTGTAGTAAAGATGCAGCACAGGAAGCAGTCAAACTGGTGAGTAACTTATTTTCAGACTGGACAAGATACGGTAAACAGCGAGCGTGTTGGTAATCTCTTAGACAATGAAGTCTTTGAAGAGTTACATTAAAGCAATTGAGAGACTGAACATTTTACTATCTTAAAAATTGCGTCCTGATTTGATTTAGTGTATGCAGAGAATGTTCTACTTTTAGGACCGTAGTCTGCTATAGCCTACTGCAGTCTGCTGGAGTACTTGGGTGATGATAGTACCAGCTTACTGGATTGCAGCTGGAAATATGTTCCTTAAGCTTCACTGTTTTATCACACTTCCTACTATAAAGAGCTGATTAAAGATGCTTTATTTTGCTGCTGGTGCTGTGGAGGAGGTCTCTGATGTGGTGCTCTTTATGGTTCACAGTGGCCTTTTGTTCTTTCTGATGGCAACTGTGCAGGTCAGCTCACTACATGGAAACCTGACTTGGCCTTCCTGCGTGTAGACAGTTTGGCAAAGGACACAGCAATCCATAGAGAGTTAGAATGAGAGACAGCAGCCTGATTGGGGCCCTGGTTCATTTGGCCTTGCCTCTGCCTGAGAGGAGAAAGCAGAATTAGGCAAATCAGTGTGCATCTGCCAAGGTTTTGGATGTGGCTGTGAAATACTGCTTGTACATTGAACCAAAACAGGTGAAATGCTTTATCTCATTTGCCTTCATGGAATTCAGCTGATCCTGTATGATCAGCAGGAGGGAGAGAAAACCTAAACATCTAGATAAGGTGGGGGTGGGGAGGGATAGGACACACATGACCCAGAACCTAGAGAAGCTTAGAAAGTGATTCTGTTGCATTGTAAGGGCTTCAGAAGGTTGTCTCTGTGTTCCAGTGTTTGTTCCCTTAAATATTTTCATGTAATTAGAAATCGTTGTAGTTGTTATGTTGGGCTCTTCCAGGATGAGGGATTGCTTGTCCCTTCGTAGGCTGTTGTTCCTTTCTAGAACCTATTTGGGTATTTTCTGAAGGGAGATGCACAAAGTGTCTTTTGCAATTGATTGCTTCTTGGTTTCAGTGTTTGAAGTTGGTGGATATGAGTTACTGTGACTTATGAAGGAAAAATAGTTTTGAAACTTCTGACCAAGTTGAAGGTGCTCGGAGTTGTTCCTTTAATTTTTTACTGATCGAGAGAGATGAAAGGGAAGATGCTGAAGTGACAGGAGATGTAGTGAGCAATGTGCCACTGATGGAAGACTGGCCTCAATACCCTGGATATTGCACCGAAAAAGTGAATTTGTGTCAATATATTCATTACGTCCTGTGTCTGGATTCCCTTCCGCCTACATCTTCCACCCTACCATTATTCGATAATGGGGCCAGGCTTGTGTTTAGATGAAATATTTTCCACAGACTACTGGGGGAAATGCAAATGGTGTGGACACATGCTAAATTTTGGATCTAATCAAACCTTGATAGCAAAGCGAGATTATTTCAGAAAATAAACTTGAAATTTTGAAGTCTTGATTTCTCTATGCCAGGTGGGCCTTCTGCTTATGTTTGCAGGTACCAATGGGAATGGGTTTGGTTGTAAGTAAAATGGCTTTGTATGTTAAGATATAATTTGAAAAGCAGATTTGGATTAAGTTCATGGCACTGGAACACAAAGCTTAATTGTGTTATGAATCACAGTTGTATGTGAAGCAAAATTCTGAAATGTTTCTGCCTTCTTTAAAGTGATCTTTGTTTGATAGCCTGTACCTATCTAAGGTAGGGTACCTTAACCTTGTTCTAGTTCTTGAATATGAAGAATGATACTGAAAGTATTGCTCTGTAATCTGTATGGCTACATTTCAGCTAGGGTAAAAATGTCTGAAAACTTGCTTTTAAAGATTTGGATGAGATTTTCAGAAGCTGGCTGATGATCAAACATCCATCCTCTTAGGTTGTGTTTGAAAATCCTATCTAAACCATAGATGTTGTGTCTCTTGAATTCTTATATCTATATTTTTTTTAAAGGTTGGACTCTTGTACCTTTTAAGACCTTATGGGGCTCTTGGTGTTCAGGGTAATCCAACTGTGGGCACAAGCAGGAAGAATGGGCTGAATTTTTTTTAATTGGAAGTTTTTAAATGTAACAGCAAAATTCATAAAATGCTGGTGTTTACAAGGTCCAAAAAATCCCTGCTGTGGGGGTGGCAGGGAGGGAACAAGGTCACACACTGATTTAGACTTTTGAATATCTCATAGCAAATATGCTTAGTGTTTAAAAGTCATTGAAGTAAAGTGGAAGAACTCACAGAATCTATAATACTATGTATTTGCTTCCTGATAACAGCAATAATGACTGACATGGAGTCCCAGCACAGGAAGCAGTCACCAGTTGCTTAGAAAGATCTTTCAAATCTGAGATAAACAGTAGGAGAATGAATTTACCCCATGTAGTTGTTAACCCCGTCTCTGTTACATGTTTTGCCATGTACCTCAATTTCTTCGTAGCTTTCCGTTCAGCAGAACTTCCAAAGTTTCTATGGAAAACCTAAGCTCAAGAATGTTCTTTCAAGTGAATTCTGACCCAAATATTGCAGTTCTAGTAATTCTCTTGCAATGTAAATTCAACATCTCTTGCAAAGTAAATTCAATATGCTATGTATAAAAGTAGTTGAACATGAAAAACATAGCTGATTTTGTGATTTAGGTGATCTTTTTATCCATATTATTGTGGATAAAGTGGCTTATTATTTTCTCAGTGTGACAACTATGAAATCCGTCCTGGGAAGCACCTTGGAGTATGCATCTCCGTGGCAAACAACAGGTTATTTGTTGGGTCAATTCCAAAGAACAAGACTAAGGAAAACATATTGGAAGAGTTCAGTAAAGTCACAGGTAAGACCTTCTTAATGAGTTTTTCCACACCGATTCTGAAATACCTCTGTTTTATAGGTCTAGTTATTTGACAGACGCATTCACCTATCATTTAAACTGTTTCCAAGTTGGATTCCAGGTTTTTTTCTGGTAGAAATCTTATATATCAAATACATTTTATGGTGGAGTGTAAAGGGACTAGTGTCCATTATACTGATTGTTAAATGAATGATGCTGTAGGTTTACAATTTGAGATGGAAACAGCACAAATGAACTCGGAAAAAAAGTAAAGGTCCTAATTCTGTTACCTGTTCTAGCTTCCTGTTGAAGGCTCTGTATTTGAAACTGGTTCTAGAGTATCTGCTTTCACAACTGAGAAGTTTTGGGGGAGCCTCAAACAAATGTATTGCTCAGAAATGATGGGGAGGAGGGAATACTAAATCAGTTTAGAGGGACTGTTAAAGTAGAAATCGTTAATTATAGATTAATTTCTGTCCCAGTTCTTCAGTGTTGGTCCCCACTGTATGCAGCAGGTAGGAAGAAAAGAAGTCAGCTCGTCACTGGATGGATGCTTCTGCTTTAAATAAGAGATTGAGGTCTTGATCGCCTGCTCCTGTTCCTGTAGGAGGGTTTTAACCTACTGCTTCTTTTTGAGGATTGCTATTTATAAGTACTTCAGGGAAGTGGTGAAAACAGAAAGTGAATGTTCATTTAGTTCTCTCTCCTCTTTTTGGAGAGATGTGAAAGAAATTATTTCCAGCTTCATCTGGAGGAATGGGAAACTGCTGACTGCTTTTCAAAAATGTGAAAATGGTAAAACACAATATAGAAAACTTACACTGGGAACTCTTCAGGTTGATGTTTTGCAGGGCCTAATTGTGAGGTAAGTTTGTTCTGGAGAATTTCACCTGCAATGTCACCTGTTTCTGTGTAAATTGTATGGATTGGATGGATATCTGTTACTTGTTTTGCTTTTCTTGTGCTCCTCACCACCACCAGCCCCCCCCTTCAGGTGTTAAATTCAAAGGCTGTGTATTACAAAAAACAGGTGAAGGCATTTAAGAGCAGACTGTAGTTTTTCTTTCTTTTGAAGCTTAATACTAAAGACCTGTTTTTCAGAGGGTTTGGTGGATGTAATCTTGTATCATCAACCTGATGATAAAAAGAAGAATCGAGGATTCTGCTTCTTGGAATATGAGGATCACAAATCAGCAGCACAAGCTCGCCGCCGCCTGATGAGTGGAAAAGTAAAAGTCTGGGGAAACGTTGTGACAGTGGAATGGGCTGATCCGGTAGAGGAACCTGATCCAGAAGTCATGGCAAAGGTAACCAAAAACTTCACTGGACACTTTGTGTTACTGTTGAACACTGCAAATTAGTTGCCATTGGAAGACATTAGGAACATGTGGTTGTAACCTGCTGTTCATGTTTAACCTAGTAGTGTACAGGGTTATCGTACTGGATTGGCACATGAGTCTGTTCATTATCTGCTTCTGCTGATAGTAAATACTAGGTGGGTAGTTTTTAAAACTTATTTTCTAGAGTGAGATGAAGTTCAGCATAGGGAATGTTGTGTTTCAGGATAACTCTTTGCTGCTCTTGAGGTCTGTTACTAAAATTTACCTGGGATTTGTAGCATCCCAGAAGCAGAAAATCAAAGTTGAATATTCTTCTGGTCATGGAAGGGAACTGTGGAAGGAAAGAAGTTGTAGAAACTTCATACAGGTAACTACAAGGCTTTTTTAATTTTTTTTTTTAAACAGGTACAGAATTTATAAGGTTACCCAAAATTTCCTAACGCAGAGAGGAAAGAAATAACATCTTACTAGTTTATGTTAGTTTCCTTTGAGGTTTGAGTTTTAGAGATCACAGCTTTCATTCTCATTTTTTGACCAGGTGAAAGTTTTATTTGTAAGAAACTTGGCCACTACTGTGACAGAAGAAATTCTTGAGAAATCCTTTTCTGAATTTGGAAAGCTGGAAAGAGTAAAGAAGTTGAAGGATTATGCTTTTGTTCATTTTGAGGACAGAGGTGCCGCAGTGAAGGTAGGTTGATTATTCTTTCCTAGCTAAATTGATGTGAGCAGTTTTGTAAAAATGGTTTTAAGAAATTTATTTACAGTAAATATCTAGACAAAACAATTTGTAGAGCCCATTTAATAAGGTTCCCATTGTGAGAATTTTAACACTAATAATTTTATTCCTGTGATTTCAGTAGCTAGAAGGATGTGAAACTTGCAAAGGACAAAACTATAGCAAGTTAACAAGTAGACTGGAAAAGAGGTATAGACCAATGCAGGAGAGTCTAGAGAAGAGGAAAAAAAATAAAGATCATCCTAGACAATTTTTCTGAGGAAACATTCAGAGAAGGTATCAGTTATCTCTCAAAGACTCCTGTTTAAATGCTGTGTGTAGTTTTGGAGTGACAGAAGTATTGAATAGAAATTACAAGGTAATTCAAAAAATGCCTTGTGAAGGGGAGAATGGCACTAGCAGCTCCCTTAGTGCATTACCTATTTTTAACTCTACACAGTCCCTAAATGGTTTCTTCTAAATGACTTCTTCAACATTGGAGGTCATCGTAAGCTTCAAAGGTGTCTTCCTTTGTATCTAGGAGCAGTTGTGAAGATCATTAATCTCTGCTGTTTGTACTTCAGTGGATTGAATTCTATAGAAACTACTCCATCTGTTTTTTAAATCCGTAGTTTAGGGGGGGAAGAAGAAAGGGAGGATGTGTTTTGCACCTTGGGAGTCTTGAAGCAAGTCTATTGTATGTGGTGTATGTTGGCTATACAGACAGTTCAAAGGCTCTTACTCAAGCTTATTAATAATTTTATAACCATTTAATCACTTAGAATTTTTCTACCCACCAAAATAGGGTTTAGAATACTGTTGAGTTTGGCTGTAGGATGAATGTCGCTTGTAGTTAATGAAGTCAAATTCAGTTTGGATAGGTTTAGACCATGTCCCAGAGAGGATAGGAGATTGTTGACAGAAGGGGTAAGTCAGCAACACCTCCTGACATGTTTTATTGTAGTATGTCTTTAAACACTTTGCGATCCCTTCCCGGTAGACCTTACATCTAAATGGTCTCTTAGATATGAGCAACTGAAAACATGTGACACATGAGAAGATAATAGATCAAATGCAGTCCAGCAGAGCATTGCTGATGTTTGTCTTCTCTGAAACAAGCTGGAATACTACCACATCCACCCGCTGTGACTGATTTATGGCCACTAAATGGGTTTATTAATTTTGTGAGAAACCATAATGATGTTAATGTCTGGAGTGCATGGAATTGGCTCATTGATTCCAGTGTCTACTTATTTTTGTACCTTCTTTGAAATAAATTGCCATGATCTCTGATGTTGTTGAGGCATGTACAGACAGGTAAAGTCTTTGTTAATGCAAATATTAATAGCCAGAAAAGTTTAATGTAAAGCAGATAACTCCAGGTAAAGTCCTAGTCGTTCTTTGTGTATGTGTTATTAAGTTCTCTTTGTGTGTGTATTTGATAATTACAAGTTACACATTTCTGGGGGATTCTTGCCTCACTTGATGAGATCACTGAGTTTCAGTAATTTTTTTTTTCTCCTTGAGTATGTCCTTAGAAATACTTGATTTCCTCAGAGGAACTTATGCAGCATATTCAACTAGCTAGGAAGCCCAAGTATAAAAATACTCTTTTTTCTCTTGCGTGCCTGTGCTCTGCCTGGCTTACAAGTACAGTTGAGTGTTCGTTTCAGTGTGAGTAGTGAGAACTTCTGTCAATGCATTTCTCAAACATTTGTAGGGGATATAGGAACATAAAAAGTGATGGTGTTTAGTCTGATTTTTTAAAAAATAATGCTCAATATGTTTTAAACCCATTCTTTTACCTTATGATATAAAGAGAATACTTTTTTTAAAATGCTACTTAACTGTAACTGTTGAAAAAAGTGGGACTTGAAAGAATAATGCATAACGTTCTGTTTGAGTAGCTCAGAAATTAAGCGCGTGGCATAGTTCAGCCTGGAGCAGCCCAACCGTCTGGTTTCTTTCAGCAAGTTTCAGTTTCCTTTTGAATGGAAACAAATTTTTCGATGTTTCTCTTCTAATTTTTGTACAGGCTATGAATGAAATGAATGGGAAAGAGATAGAAGGGGAAGAAATTGAAATAGTGTTAGCAAAGCCACCGGATAAGAAAAGGAAAGAACGTCAGGCTGCCAGACAGGCCTCCAGAAGTACTGCGTGAGTGTTAATTCTTGCACTGCTGTAATACTGCAGAATGAAGTTGTGCTGTAAAATTTGAGTTCCTTTAGAAGAACCTGAATGACTTTTCTTTTCTCCATGTTGTGTACTGCTAATTAACAAGGGGGAATTTGTACTTTTTATTTTGTGAGACTTTTGAAGAGAAATAATTGCGTGTTTCTTTTTCTTAATAGGTACGAAGACTATTATTACTACCCTCCACCTCGCATGCCACCTCCTATTAGAGGCAGAGGCCGTGGAGGGAGAGGTGGATATGGCTATCCCCCAGATTACTATGGCTATGAAGATTATTATGATGATTATTATGGTTATGACTATCATGACTACCGTGGTGGCTATGAAGATCCCTATTACGGCTATGATGATGGCTATGCTATAAGAGGAAGAGGAGGAGGAGGAAGGGGTGGGAGAGGTGCCCCTCCACCACCTAGGGGGCGGGGAGCACCACCACCAAGAGGTAGAGCTGGCTATTCACAGAGGGGGGCACCCATGGGACCGCCAAGAGGAGCCAGGGGTGGGAGAGGGGGTCCTGCGCAGCAGCAGAGAGGACGCGGTGCTCGTGGAGCCAGGGGCAACCGTGGGGGCAACGTAGGAGGCAAGAGAAAGGCAGATGGGTACAACCAACCTGATTCCAAGCGCCGTCAGACCAACAACCAGCAGAACTGGGGCTCCCAACCCATCGCTCAGCAGCCGCTCCAGCAAGGTGGTGACTATGCCGGTAACTATGGTTACAATAATGACAACCAGGAATTTTATCAGGATACTTATGGGCAACAGTGGAAGTAGACAAGTGAGGAGGGATTGAGAATATTGGAAACATAGAATTGGCTATAGCTCTACATCCTTCAAAACAAAATTGGCTTAATGTTTCATCCTTCAGTAGCGATTGGCTGCCATTTGTATTGGGCTGAAGAATCACTCTATTGTGTATATACTCGAGTCTCTTAGTTTTCTTTTTTCATAAATGCACTTGGACATTACTGGGCTTGCAGAATTCCTGAACTCCATATGGGGTTTCAATGCTTTTATCATTTTAGGCTTCATTTTAGCAGTTTAAAAGCAGGA